GTATTTATCCAAACGTGACGCTTTTTCCGGTGACGTTGTCTGGGGCACCTGAGCTCGATGTGTGTCACTGTGTTTCCTTCCTCAGTCCTACTGATCCCTGTTAGACTGGGACGGGTTCCAATTTACACCCGACCCTTCTTCGGGTAGCCACTAGGGCTGAGACGGGTAACTCGGGTACTCGTTTCGGGTGGGTCCCGAGTAGAACCCGGGTACCCACTGGACTACCCGGACCCGTGGCTAGTCACGTGATATATTGTTAAATGAAAAAAACCTCACAAAAGCTCAGTGGTTACACTACAAGTCGCTAATGTTCGCATTTCTTTCTGACGATGCACACATTCCTTTTGACTTGTATATGTTTGAGTAAAGACAAAGCTTCAGTCAACTTCAGCGAACACATGATCTGATTGTTTGATATATGTATCTGAATAGTTTTGGTGTTGGGTACAAAATATCAGGGAATTGTTTTACCTCAGCCCTGGCAAAAACTATCAGATCATACGTACACTGAAGTTGATATCTTTACTCAAACATGTACAAGTCAAAAGAAGAGTTCATTCGACTTTGCACATTGCAGAGACCTGACATATTTTTAGTGACGAGCTCCTCACAGCGAAACATCGTGCTCTGCGCTCTCTGTATTTGAGGAAACGGAGGCGGTACGCGCTAGAATGGAGCTTGTGCTATTTGCCGAAAGGGAAACAACTCTAATCGGACGAGTTTGTTTTCGCGAAATAACTTCTTGAAACACCAGAAGAAGACAAACAAATGTAATTGCGAAATCTGCATGTTTACATATCCCCATGACGTCATAGTATAGTGACGTCAGAGTTCAAAGTTCATCACATAGCAGCATTGTTCTGCGACCCCGCTTGAACACAAGCCGCTCTCGTGTTTTAGCGTATAAGCAGTCAACTATTCCAGAGTGATTGGACATCTGCGAGGTGAGCAAAAGAATACTCATCTTTTTGTTGACGCCTTGATTTTTTTATAGCCAGTTATTTTGTGTTTTGTTGAGAAAATGTACTCTTTGCTGTGAACACGCGACACTGACCAATCTGTACACTACACGGCGATGTTATGTTTATGTATAAGAACGTATACCTATCTATAGACTGTATACACCTAAACAAAAATAACCAATAACCAATATCCCTACTTTATGTTGATGTAATTGTTATCAATATCTAAATAACTTATCTAAATAATCCGAAATGATTAAAAAGTGTAGTCAAATAAATGTTGCCTAGGAACAGTTACAAAGCAAGTCATTAATCATGGAGTATGTTACTTTGCCAGTAAATCATGGAGTATGTTACTTTGCCAATGGCTATCTAATCTGGAAATATATAGTAAGCAGCGCTAACCCCCTGGATGCAAGAGGGACATGTATGCCCCTCCTCTTCAACCCTCACTTGGAAATCGAAAAAAATTCAACATAGGCCTACACCACGCACACTAATACACTCTACAGTTTTGAATACTGTGGGAAATTCCCTGTTCAGTCATATCATCTACTGTCATTTTCAGAAAAGCTAAATTACTGAAAATGACTTCTGAAACTTAGGTACATCGTAAATGTCGCCATTTTTTAGACATTAAATCTCCATTCACGGCGTTATTTACAGCAGGTGTCTGTATGAGAATTTTGAAGGGCTGTTGTGTTTTTATGATATAAAAAAAGGGATTCCATCATGTGATACATATATATTTTTTGCAGTAAATCATTTATTATCACTGGTAATATCAATCATGACATTACAAATGATGTGCAAACCGTTAATGTATTAATATGTATTATATCGTGTACAATGTATTCTGAACCCTGAATAAAAAAATTATTACAAAAAAAATAATATCTGCAGTAAAATTTACACCATTAGATGAGAAATTTAATATTCTACATCACTGCGTAATTTTATAGCCGGAGGTATATCCTCGCACATCGTTCACTTTTCAGATCTTAGGAAAATGCCCATCAGACAATTTTTTCTTCAAGTCTGACATTTTGTGAGGTAGTCCACCAGTAGGATTCCTCTGGAATCACAGAAAAACCGAAGCCATCACCTTGTCAACCAATGGACCAAACTTTGCCTTGTTCTTCGGAGACTTGAAATGTTTCCACTGCATTGTATGTAGTTTAGTCTCTGGCTGATAGTGGTGAACCCAAGGCTTCCAAACGACGTAAAGTCTCACGAGAGATGATGAACCTGGATCGTTTCTGATCAGGGGTCAGAAGCCTTGGAACATGTGTGGTGAAACCGATGTCAAATCCAGTTCATTCCTCAGAACGTTCTCAACCCACAATCATATAATTTTTTCCACATTTTGCTTAGTGGTAGCAGTTGAGGGTCTCTCTCTCTCTCTCTCTCCCTCTCTCTCTCTCTCTCTCTCTCTCTCTCTCTCTCTCTTGCTCTCTCTCTCTCTCTCTCTCTCTCTCTCTCTCTCTCTCTCTCTCTCCTCGCTCTCAACAGTGGCCAAAAGGACTATCATCCGTATGGATGTATGTTGAACTTTGAGACAGTTCATGACAGTGCTGTAGCCAATTTCATCTATTGTCATCAACAGAGAATATACCTTGTCACTTTGGTGCTTGCAGAAATATGCTGCCTTGATGTGTACTTGCTACAATGTAACCTGATTGCACGGCACGCAGGCTTAATACATCCAACTACTATGTACTATACATCCGACGTAGTCAGGGACCGACAGTTTCATATTCTGAAGGAGGGGGAGGGGACTGGGAGTTTGTATGGAGGCTAGACATTTCGACAACTACAGCTGCAAAACGAGATATTTGTTAAATTAAAACTATGAGCCTAAATAAGTATATAAAAACACCCTGCAAACAATCCAAGTTACCAGACAATTTCTTCTCTTTTTTTCAACAGTCTGAAGGATAATTATATTTATCAAGCATTTTTCTCATCATAATACATAATTATTTTGAGTAAAACACAACGTACTACTACTACTACTTCTACTACTACTAATAATAATAATTGACGCGAAATTGATCAATTCCTCAACTACGATGAATACCTTCAATACGATATATATATATTCATTTTTAATCCTAGACTGCAGTGAAACATGTGAGTTAGCCCTTGTTCTTCTGCAGCTGATCTGCAGCTGATACAACAGGAAAATTTCCCTTTTGTTTTAGTAATGACCCTATTATCTGACTTGAAAACTAATTTCCTCGCCAGAGCACGTGGTGGCGTCTGACAAGGGGAGGGGAACTCGGGTCCAGATCCTCAAGAAATCTAACTCAGTAGATGGATACGGCGCTAGTGGTGAGTAGGAGGATGTTTAGTTAGGTTTATCCACCAAGTTTAGAAACCCTATTATTCTAAAGGATAAGCATGGATAATTAAGCCATAGATACCTGGCACCCAGTGTTCACAATGCCTTATGGCTCAAACAGAAGACCCCTCACTGAACCCGTTCTGTCTTTGTTTGCCTTGTCACATTAATATTGTCTGAGGTTGTGTTTCCTGTCTGTAGATGGAGACAAGGACATTCCACCACACAGGGAGAAGCTGCGGCAGAGAGTACAGAGATTCTTCTCCACGGTTCTTCATTTGTGGAGGACCAGCACAGGCCTAGATGGTCACTTAGTCACGTCCTGAATTCCAATCGGCGTATTCCCCAGGTCGGGTCTTATCATGTAGCTAAATCCGGAGTATTTAAATGAATGTGCCTCTTCTTGTAGCGTCATCCTGTGTATTGCAATGGGCGTGTCTTATCATGTAGCTAAATCCGGAGTATTTAAATGAATGTGCCTCTTCTTGTAGCGTCATCCTGTGTATTGCAATGGGCGTGTCTTATCATGTAGCTAAATCCGGAGTATTTAAATGAATGTGCCTCTTCTTGTAGCGTCATCCTGTGTATTGCAATGGGCGTGTCTTATCATGTAGCTAAATCCGGAGTATTTAAATGAATGTGCCTCTTCTTGTAGCGTCATCCTGTGTATTGCAATGGGCGTGTCTTATCGTGTAGCTTACCCGTGAAGATCCGGGGTAGAGTAGGTCTTCAGCAACCCATGCTTGCCGTAAAAGGCGACTATGCTTGTCGTAAGAGGCGACTAATGGGATTTGGTGGTCAGGCTTCCTGACATGGTTGGCATTGATGCATTGATGCTCATGATGTCAATCACTGGATTGTCTGGTCCAGACTCGATTATTCCCAGACCGCCGTCATATAGCTGGAATATTGCTGAGTACAGCGTTAAATATCAAACAAACCAGAAAAAAACCTTATCATGTAGCTATATTATGTGTATTGCAATGGGCGTGCCTAATCATGTACCTGCATCCTGTATATTGTAAATTGGCATTTCTTTATCAAGTAGCTACTTCCTGTATATTGTAAATTGGCGTTTCTTTATCATGTAGCTATTTCCTGTATATTGTAAATTGGCATTTCTGTATCATGTAGCTATTATATAGCTACACCCCATGTATTTTGATCGATGTCCTTAATATGTACCTTCATGATATGTGTATTTAAATGGAGCGTCTTCTCATGTAGCTACTTTCTGTAGTTAAATGGGTTTGACCTATTTTATATAGCTACATCCTATAAATCGATGTAACTTAATATGTACCTACATCATATGTGTATTTCAATGGAGTGTCTTCTCATGTAGCTACTTTCTGTAGTCAAATGGGTGACCTCTTATAGAGCTACATCCTATGTATTTAAATCAATGTGCCTTAATATGTACCTACATCATATGTGTATTTAAATGGAGTATCTTCTCATGTAGCTACTTTCTGTAGTCAAATGGGTGGCCTCTTATAGAGCTACATCCTATGTATTTAAATCAATGTGCCTTAATATGTACCTACATCATATGTGTATTTAAATGGAGTATCTTCTCATGTAGCTACTTTCTGTAGTCAAATGGGTGGCCTCTTATAGAGCTACATCCTATGTATTTAAATCAATGTGCCTTAATATGTACCTACATCATATGTGTATTTAAATGGAGTGTCTTCTCATGTAGCTACTTTCTGTAGTCAAATGGGCGTGACCTCTTATATAGCTACACCCCATGTATTTAAATTGATGTGCCTTAATATGTAGCTACATCATATGTGTATTTATTTTCAGTGTCTTCTCATGTAGCTACTTTCTGTAGTCAAATGGGCGTGACCTCTTATATAGCTACATCCTATGTATTTAAATCAATGTGCCTTAATATGTAGCTACATCATATGTGTATTTAAATGGAGTGTCTTCTTATGTAGCTACTTTCTGTAGTCAAATGGGCGTGACCTCTTATATAGCTACATCCGATGTATTTGAATTAATGTGTGGATAAGAGAATCAATATAAGTTTAATTATCTTCTGATGTAGCTACTTTCTATTGTCAAATGGGGGTGGCCTTTAATATGGCTACATGTATTCTAAATGAGCGTGAATCAGTGTGTAGCTACAGGTTGTGTATAGCCTTTTCATGCTGTAGTATCCTGTGTACTTTAAGTGAGTGTGTCTTCTAAGTGTAGCTACATCCTGTGTTTTTAAATATTTGTGCCTAATACAGCAAGATCAAATGTATTTTAAATGTGTGCGACTATCATGTAGCTTCACCTTATGTACTGGCACAGTGTACTTCAGTAAGTGTGTCTTATGTAGCTTCATCCTGTGTACATAAATGTGTTCGCCTCATACAGCCACATCAAGTGTATGTTTGGTGGGTGTGCCTTGTAATTTCACTGAAATGTCCAGCTAAGCCATTGTCAGACCCAGACACAGAGCAGATGTCATTGTCAGACCCAGACACAGAGGAGATGTCATTGTCAGAACCAGACAGAGCAGGAGTCATTGCCAGACCCAGACACAGTGCAGATGTCATTGTCAGACCCAGACACAGTGAAGGAGTCATTGTCAGACCCTGACACAGTGAGGGAGTCATTGTCAGACCCAGACACAGAGCAGAAGTCATTGTCAGACCCAGACCCAGAGCAGGAGTCATTGTCAGACCCAGACACAGAGCAGAAGTACTTGTCAGACCCAGACACAGTGAAGGAGTCATTGTCAGACCCAGACACAGAGCAGAAGTCATTGTCAGACCCAGACACAGTGAAAGAGTCATTGTCAGACCCAGACACAGAGCAGAAGTCATTGTCAGACCCAGACCCAGAGCAGGAGTCATTGACAGACCCAGACTGAGTGCAGAAGTCATTATCAGACCCAGACACAGAGCAGAAGTCATTGTCAGACCCAGACACAGAACAGGAGTCATTGTCAGACACAGTGCAGAAGTCATTGTCAGACCCAGACACAGTGAAGGAGTCATTGTCAGACCCAGACACAGAACAGGAGTCATTGTCAGACCCAGACACAGTGAAGGAGTCATTGTCAGACCCAGACACAGTGAAGGAGTCATTGTCAGACCCAGACACAGTGAAGGAGTCATTGTCAGACCCAGACACAGTGAAGGAGTCATTGTCAGACCCAGACATAGGTCAGAAGTCATTGTCAGACCCAGACACAGAGCAGAAGTCATTGTCAGACCCAGACACAGAGCAGAAGTCATTGTCAGACGCAGACATCGAACAGGAGTCATTGTCAGACCCAGACACAGTAAAAGAGTCATTGTCAGACCCAGACACAGTGAAGGAGTCATTGTCAGACCCAGACACAGGGCAGAAGTCCTTGTCAGTCCCAGACACAGAACAGGAGTCATTGTCAGACACAGAGCAGAAGTCATTGTCAGACCTAGACACAGTGAAGGAGTCATTGTCAGACCCAGAAACAGTGAAGGAGTCATTGTCAGACCCAGACATAGAACAGAAGTACTTGTCAGACCCAGACACAGTGAAGGACTCATTGTCAGACCCAGACACAGAGCAGGAGTCATTGTCAGACCCAGACACAGAACAGAAGTCATTGTCAGGCACAGTGAAGGAGTCACTATCAGATCCAGACACAGAGCAGGAGTCACTGTCAGATCCAGACACAGAGCAGGAGTCACTGTCAGACCCAGACACAGAACAGGAGTCACTGTCAGACCCAGGCACAGAACAGGAGTCACTGTCAGACACAGAGCAGAAGTATTATATAGCTACATACTATAAATTGATGTGCCTTAATATGTACCTACATCATATGTGTATTTAAATGGAGTGTCTTCTCATGTAGCTACTTTCTGTAGTCAAATGGGCGTGACCTATTATATAGCTATATCCTATGTATTTAAATCAATGTGCCTTAATATATACCTACATCATATGTGTATTTAAATGGAGTGTTTTCTCATGTAGCTACTTTCTGTAGTCAAATGGGCGTGACCTGTTATAAAGCTATATCCTATGTATTTAAATCAATGTGCCTTAATATGTACCTACATCATATGTGTATTTAAATGGAGTATCTTCTCATGTAGCTACTTTCTGTAGTCAAATGAGGATGACCTATTTTATATAGCTACATCATATGTGTATCTATATTGAGTGTCTTCTCATGTAGCTACTTTCTGTAGTCAAATGAAGATGACCTATTTTATATAGCTACATCATATGTGTATTTAAATGGAGTGTCTTCTCATGTAGCTACTTTCTGTAGTCAAATGAGGATGACCTATTTTATATAGCTAAATCCTATAAATTGATGTGCCTTAATATGTATCTATATCATATGTGTATTAAAATGGAGTGTCTTCTCATGTAGCTACTTTCTGTAGTCAAATGAGGATGACCTATTTTATATAGCTACATCATATGTGCATTTAAATGGAGTGTCTTCTCATGTAGCTACTTTCTGTAGTCAAATGAAGATGACCTATTTTATATAGCTAAATCCTATAAATTGATGTGCCTTAATATGTATCTATATCATATGTGTATCTATATTGAGTGTCTTCTCATGTAGCTACTTTCTGTAGTCAAATGAGGATGACCTATTTTATATAGCTAAATCCTATAAATTGATGTGCCTTAATATGTATCTATATCATATGTGTATTAAAATGGAGTGTCTTCTCATGTAGCTACTTTCTGTAGTCAAATGAGGATGACCTATTTTATATAGCTACATCATATGTGCATTTAAATGGAGTGTCTCCTCATGTAGCTACTTTCTGTAGTCAAATGAAGATGACCTATTTTATATAGCTAAATCCTATAAATTGATGTGCCTTAATATGTATCTATATCATATGTGTATCTATATTGAGTGTCTTCTCATGTAGCTACTTTCTGTAGTGAAATGAGGATGACCTATTTTATATAGCTAAATCCTATAAATTGATGTGCCTTAATATGTATCTATATCATATGTGTATTAAAATGGAGTGTCTTCTCATGTAGCTACTTTCTGTAGTCAAATGAGGATGACCTATTTTATATAGCTACATCATATGTGCATTTAAATGGAGTGTCTTCTCATGTAGCTACTTTCTGTAGTCAAATGAGGATGACCTATTTTATATAGCTAAATCCTATAAATTGATGTGCCTTAATATGTACCTATATCATATGTGTATTAAAATGGAGTGTCTTCTCATGTAGCTACTTTCTGTAGTCAAATGGGCGTGACCTCTTATATAGCTACATCATATTCGATTTAAATGGAGTGTCTTCTCATGTAGCTACTTTCTGTAGTCAAATGAGGATGACCTATTTTATATAGCTACATCATATGTGTATTTAAATGGAGTGTCTTCTCATGTAGCTACTTTCTGTAGTCAAATGAGGATGACCTGTTCTATATAGCTAAATCCTATAAATTGATGTGCCTTAATATGTACCTATATCATATGTGTATTAAAATGGAGTGTCTTCTCATGTAGCTACTTTCTGTAGTCAAATGGGCGTGACCTCTTATATAGCAAACATCATATTCGATTTAAATGGAGTGTCTTCTCATGTAGCTACTTTCTGTAGTCAAATGAGGATGACCTATTTTATATAGCTACATCATATGTGTATTTAAATGGAGTGTCTTCTCATGTAGCTACTTTCTGTAGTCAAATGAGGATGACCTGTTCTATATAGCTAAATCCTATAAATTGATGTGCCTTAATATGTACCTACATCATATGTGTATCTATATTGAGTGTCTTCTCATGTAGCTACTTTCTGTAGTCAAATGAGGATGACCTATTTTATATAGCTACATACTATAAATGTATGTGCCTCAATGAGTACCTACATCATATGTGTATTTAAATGGAGTGTCTTCTCATGTAGTTACTTTCTGTAGTCAAATGGACATGACCTATTATAAAGCTACATCCTATGTATTTAAATCAATGTGCCTTAATATGTAGCTACATCATATGTGTATTTAAATGGAGTGTCTTCTCATGTAGCTACTTTCTGTAGTCAAATGGACATGACCTATTATAAAGCTACATCCTATGTATTTAAATCAATGTGCCTTAATATGTAGCTACATCATATGTGTATTTAAATGGAGTGTCTTCTCATGTAGCTACTTTCTGTAGTCAAATGAGGATGACCTATTTTATATAGCTTCATCCTATGTATTTAAATCTATGTGCCTTAATATGTAGCTACATAATATGTGTATTTAAATGGAGTGTCTTCTCATGTAGCTACTTTCTGTAGTCAAATGAGGATGACCTATTATAGAGCTACATACTATGTATTTAAATCAATGTGCCTTAATATGTACCTACATCATATGTGTCTTTAAATGGAGTATCTTCTCATGTAGCTACTTTCTGTAGTCAAATGCAGAAGTCATTGTCAGACCCAGACACAGAGCAGAAGTCATTGTCAGACCCAGACACAGTGCAGAAGTCACTGTCAGACCCAGACACAGTGAAGGAGTCATTGTTAGACCCAGACACAGTAAAGGAATCATTCTCAGACCCAGACACAGTGAAGGAGTCATTGTCAGACCCAGACACAGTGAAGGAGTCATTGTCAGACCCAGTCACAGAACAGGAGTCATTGTCAGACCCAGACACAGAACAGGAGTCATTGTCAGACCCAGACACAGTGAAGGAGTCACTGTCAGACCCAGACACAGTGAAGGAGTCATTGTCAGACCCAGACACAGAGCAGAAGTCATTGTCAGACCCAGACACAGTGAAGGAGTCATTGTCAGGCACAGTGAAGGAGTCATTGTCAGACCCAGACACAGTAAGGAGTCATTGTCAGACCCAGACTGAGTGCAGGAGTCATTGTCAGACCCAGACACAGCAGAAGTCACTGTCAGACCCAGACACAGTGAAGGAGTCATTGTCAGACCCAGACACTGTGCAGAAGTCATTCTCAGACCCAGACACAGAGCAGAAGTCATTGTCAGACCCAGACATCGAACAGGAGTCATTGTCAGACCCAGACACAGAGCAGAAGTCCTTGTCAGTCCCAGACACAGAGCAGAAGTCACTGTCAGACCCAGACACAGTGAAGGAATCATTGTCAGACCCAGACACTGTACAGAAGTCCTTGTCAGACCCAGACACAGTCAAGGAATCATTGTCAGACCCAGACACAGAGCAGAAGTATTATATAGCTACATACTATAAATTGATGTGCCTTAATTAGTACCTACATCATATGTGTAATTAAATGGAGTGTACTTTCTGTAGTCAAATGGGCATGACCTATTATATAGCTACATCCTATGTATGTAAATCAATGTGCCTTAATATGTAGCTACATCATATGTGTATTTAAATGGAGTGTCTTCTCATGTAGCTACTTTCTGTAGTCAAATGGGCGTAACCTCTTTTATAGCTTCATACTATGTAATTAGAATGATGTGCCTTAATGAGTACCTACATCATATGTGTATTTAAATGGAGTGTCTTCTCATGTAGCTACTTTCTGTAGTCAAATGGGTGTGACCTATTATATAGCTACACCCCATGTATTTAAATCAATGTGCTTTAATATGTAGCTACATCATATGTGTATTTAAATAGAGTGTCTTCTCATGTAGCTACTTTCTGTAGTCAAATGGGCGTGACCTTTTATATAGCTACATCATATGTGTATTTCAATGGAGTGTCTTCTCATGTAGCTACTTTCTGTAGTCAAATGGGCGTGACCTCTTATATAGCTACATCCTATGTATTTAAATCTATGTGCCTTAATGAGTACCTACATCATATGTGTATTTAAATGGAGTGTCTTCTCATGTAGCTACTTTCTGTAGTCAAATGGGCGTGACCTATTATATAGCTACATCCTATGTATTTAAATCAATGTGCCTTAATTAGTACCTACATCATATGTGTATTTAAATGGAGTGTCTTCTCATGTAGCTACTTTCTGTAGTCAAATGGGCATGACCTATTATATAGCTACATCCTATGTATTTAAATCAATGTGCCTTAATATGTACCTACATCATATGTGTATTTAAATGGAGTGTCTTCTCATGTAGCTACTTTCTGTAGTCAAATGGGCATAACCTCTTTTATAGCTTCATACTATGTAATTAGAATGATGTGCCTTAATGAGTACCTACATCATATGTGTATTTAAATGGAGTGTCTTCTCATGTAGCTACTTTCTGTAGTCAAATGGGTGTGACCTATTATATAGCTACACCCCATGTATTTAAAACAATGTGCTTTAATATGTAGCTACATCATATGTGTATTTAAATGGAGTGTCTTCTCATGTAGCTACTTTCTGTAGTCAAATGGGCGTGACCTCTTATATAGCTACATACTATGTATTCAAATTGATGTGCCTTAATGAGTACCTACATCATATGTGTATTTAAATGGAGTGTCTTCTCATGTAGCTGCTTTCTGTAGTCAAATGAGGATGACCTATTTTATATAGCTACATCCTATGTATTTAAAGCTATGTGCCTTAATATGTACCTACATCATATGTGTATTTAAATGGAGTGTCTTCTCATGTAGCTACTTTCTGTAGTCAAATGAGGATGACCTATTTTATATAGCTACATCCCATGTATTTAAATTGATGTGCCTTAATATGTAGCTACATCATATGTGTATTTAAATGGAGTGTCTTCTCATGTAGCTACTTTCTGTAGTCAAATGGGCGTGACCTCTTATATAGCTACATCCTATGTATTTAAATCAATGTGCCTTAATATGTTCCTACATCATATGTGTATTTAAATGGGGTGTCTTCTCATGTAGCTGCTGCTCCCAGGGAGTACTAAATTGCTATAATATTTCTCATGTCTGTTTCTATTGTCGATAGCAGACAAAGTATCATAACGTTCTATATTGTAATAAATGATTGTAAACAGCAAGACTCTTATTGTCCTGAGATAGTGGCACACTAACATGTGCAAGATGCGTTGTCAGAAGTACCAGATGCAGCCAGTAGAGCACCAGTACAGCACGTGTCATTGGCGTACAAACCGGATGAGAATGTCACACGTGCAAGATACGTTGTCAGAAGTACCAGATACAGCCAGTAGAGCACCAGTACAGCACGTGTCATTGGTGTACAAACCGGATGAGAATGTCACACGTGCAAGATACGTTCTCAGAAGTACCGGATACTGCCAGTAGAGCACCAGTACAGCACGTGTCATTGGTGTACAAACCGGATGAGAATGTCACACGTGCAAGATGCCTTGTCAGAAGTACCTGATACTGCCAGTATAGCACCAGTACAGCACGTGTCATTGGTGTACAAACCGGATGAGAATGTCACACGTGTAAGATACGTTGTCAGAAGTACCTGATACTGCTATGCAGTAGAGAACTAAGTACACGTGTCTGTATGAAGCAGGTGACATTGTTGTACACATCCGATGAGGGCGGTACACGTGCGAGATACGTTGTCAGAAGTACCTGATACTGCTATGCAGTAGAGAACTAAGAACACGTGCCTGTATGAACCAGGTGACTCGTATATATCATATGTAGTTAGAGGCTCACCCAAGTCATTCTATAGATAGAAAATGTAATTCATCCCGAGGAAAATGAAATATAAAATTTTGAAAAATTACCAAAACGTAATTACGAGTGGTAGGGATTCTGATACCTTTATGGATGACTAAAATATTCCACATGAAGCGCTCAATGTATAAACTACCAGAAGAACATGTAGTGGTTCTGTCCGCAGCACAAATCTCCAGCCAACAAGACGAAGTCTCTATATGTGTCACCAGTGGTAGCAGATGGCATCGAGCGTAATTTGTTCACATCAACGTCGCGTTATAATTCTACTCTTTAGTTCGAACATCAGATACGCCAGACAACAGACTTCACAAATAAGAGCTCTGTAAAAACTGAAATTAGGATTAAGGTTATCTATAGTTAATACATTTCTCTTTTATTGTCTTTTATACACCAGATAGACATGATCGGAGATTAAAATAATTGTTTGTTAGCTTGAAATTTAGAGTACAGACAGTTATTTCGAATAATGTTCTTTTGATAAGTTGATTAACTAAAATTAATCTAAATGTATTGGCTACCTTAAAAACGTGTACCTTTGAATGATCGTTGGCTATAAAGGCAAATGGTGATGTTTATATAGTAAAAGTCAGTAAATAAATCCTTTCTGGAGCTAGGGCACAATTGATATATGGTTGAAGTCCCTGGTCTAACAGACTCGGCTGCATCGGACAGGCCACCTGGACCACGCCCAGATGTTTGTCAAGGATGACGTCATGAAAACGGGCCCAAACCAGTGTAGCTGCCAGAGCGCGACATCAACAACTGCACTGGCAACAATAGCGGTGAACTTCTTTTCAGTGGCATTTAGAAGTTGGTGTGATGAAGAAAGACATGTTCTATGGATGAACAACTTCTTTATTACAGTTAGTGCGACGTTTCGGTGTAGATCCTAACACCTTTATCACTTGCTTGATCTACACCGAAACGTCGCACTAACTGTAATAAAGAAGTTGTTCATCCATAGAACTTGTCTTTCTTCAATAGCGGTGAACGTTACCGAGGTACACAGAGTATTTTGATCGGAAAGCAAAGTCACTAATATACTGGATTAGGTGACCTGGCCCAATATGAAGTCCGAGTCCCTGCATCTCACCGACTCGGTGTCTCCACTGGACATCACCTGTTGCCACAAGTGTTTTGAGGCCACCACTTGACTCAGAGGAGGAAACCTCAGAAGACTCGACTTCCCATCAACGTCAGTGGCACCAAAAACATCCTTGGCATGGCTGTCGACAACCATCCAGCCCCCAGCAGGGTTCTCCAGCAGTACTCTTCAGCAAGGCCGAGCTACTGCAAGGGGCTGATTTAGAATTGGACTACTTGGCTGTACATGCAGGGAAGGTGTATCCACTCACACAGTAGACCCTGTCTTATCTGTATTCCTGCGCCGTAGAACACTTCCGTTTCTTTCTTGGCGGAAAGGGAAAAACAATGGCGAACCATTAATGAGTGCGTGATATCAATAACATTAAGAAATAGTCATAGAAACTACACAATGACAATTCAGCTGAAGACTAGATTAGTTTGACTTCCCGAGTCACTGGTCATCAATGTTCCTACAGCGCCTTCATTCTTATTGGCAAAATTGGTTCAAAGCAGTTCCGTTTGTTCATATGTATACTCAGTGATGACTTAAAGGAATATTTTGAAGAGAAAGCTGACTACATTTGTCAGAATACTGTTTGAGTCACAGCTTCAAAACATGCAGTGTTGGTGGCTGCTAAGGATGAGCCACAACACATTATTTTCAAAATCATCCAGCATGTCCTGCATGCGAACGATAGTTTGGTTGAAAAGTAGAATATTTATGTTACATTATACACGCGCGCGCACACACACTTCTGATTATCGTATTATAAGGAAATGTTATCCATCTTCAATTATATCATAATAACATTTATTGCACGTAACTGTTAATAATCAGCTTATGGCTCAGACATTGGAATTTATGGTTTTTATGCTCACAATTTGGACATTACTCGATTCGATTCAAATCACAATAACCACCTGCAATAGCTGATTTGACGACCGCATCACCGCAGAAGCTTAATATATACAGAGACCATATATCAGTATGTCGAAAAATATGTAGAAAAGATCTATCTCAAACGTTGTCGGAAGGCATTTTAACGTGTGTACAATTATAGGTTACCAAAGGTAGAGTTTCGGTTAGGACGATATACTGGCAGTAGAGGTTGGAAAGGACACAGGAGACATCTACAGCGCGTTCGGTTCCAAGTTCAAATTAGCGCTGTTAAAAATATACAGGTAACCTAGCTCTACATTGAAAACATAGTATATCCCAATTGGCTGATTGACCTATGACCTAAAGCTGGTGCTCATGCTATGGACCAGTGGTTTAGGGAGCCCAAGTGAAAGATGGAGAATTTGCATTGAAGAATATTCATTCACTCAGTTGAAATCATCCTGTGATATGTCACAATGTCATGAATCATGGTCGCTGTTTAGATTTGTTAAGGTGGGCACGGGTGGCCCAGTCGTCTAAGGCGTCGCGATTCGCTGTGCAGAGTTGCGTCCCTTGGGCACGCCAGAAACCTATGATTGTGGGTTCGAATCCTGGTTCGCCCTGATTATGTTTCTAGGTTTGTCAGCATCATACCAGTGCTCGTGGGTTTCACCGAAGTGGTAAACGTCTGAGACCTGCATCACTTCGGGCTTTCCTCCCACATTAAGCTGACACGCCGTGATATAACTGGAATATTGTTAAAAGCGGCGTTAAAACACAACTCACTCACTCACTAGTTGTGTTAAGATGTGTAAAGTATGCGTCTATTTAGACGTGAAACACGCTTTGTATTCCAGCCGTCCCATGTTTGCGGCTGAGGAACATCGGAATCATTCGTCAACACTCGCATCCTCCCGAGAGCTATAAGAGGTTGGTCACGAACAAGACAAATGAATCTGTGAACACAATCAGCCAATTCGTCTTTACGGTTACGGAAAGGGGCGAGGTTTGCCGATTGCACGAATGCGGAGATCGACAATAACACTGCAGACTGTTCCAGGGTTGTTGCTGTTTGGAAAGTGTATACATGTGTCATTTTTAGCGAAGATGAGCTTAGGTGGAAGTGACATCAGCGTGACTGGCTCGTTGAAATCTTCAATAAGCGAGAAGGGAGAGTTTTGTGAGGAATGTTAGCTGTAACAGGTGAGACAAACTGCACCATATAGCGCATGTTCGAACTAGACTTGCCGCGGCTTCATTCATTTAGTATCATATTGAGGATAAGTTATGATGTTTGTTTGTTTGTTGTTTAACGCCGCACTCAGCAATATTTCAGCTATATGACGGCGGTCTGTAAATATTCGAGTCTTGACCAGACAATCCAGTGATTGACCTCATGAGCATCAATCCACGCAATTGGGATCGATGACATGCATCAACCGCTGGACCATGTAACTTATAAAAGTAACAAAAGACTCGCACACCAGACCTTTGGCCTTGTCTATGATTTTTTTTTTGCGATTTTTTTAATTGTTATTATTAGTTACATGGTCCTGTGCATCAACCAAGTCAGCGAGCCTGAACACCGGATCCCGTTAGTCGCCTCTTACGACAAGCACAGTCGCTATGATGTTCATCTATTTTATTACAGTGTTTTAAACACAGGCTTAGACTTGAGATTCTGATACATCTAGATACGCGTCCCTAAGTAACTTGGTTGTGTATTGCGTGAAAAACAGCAGCATCAATATTATGTAAGCATCTATCTATACACAGCAACAAAAGTTCCTGTGACAGGATATAAAACAAGAAACTGATCAAAGTACATGCACACATCTGATAGAATTTGTATTCTGACACTCCACACTTTCTTTGACTCCATCTGATCATTTCTTTGCGCAGAGACCATATAATTATTATAATAATATTATATGCGGTCTCTTATTTGCTATTTCAGATGATGGGTCAAGTGGATTTAAAGCGGAGGCCAACCTCTACCATCTGTACGTGTCCCTGTCGTGTCCATAGGCCCACCTCGCCCTTATACTTCGAGCACTGAAGGGGTTCCACGATGTCATCTCCTGTACTGTTGTGGATTGGGTGTTGAGAAATTCAATGATCAGGTACGAACATTTTCATAAAAGGTTCCAGTGTCTTTTTATTTTTGTTGTTTGACAAGATTGCAACATTTATGTGTCTCTGGGAAAGTTGGAAAATGTTTGGAAAGATAAAAACAATAGATATGATAATCTTCCAGTTGAACAGAAACAAACAAAAATGCTAGAATTAAAATTTGTATTTCAAATAAGAATCAGGTGCAATTACAATGTCGCTGTATGGCTTGTAAGACTGACAATATGAATACTGCAGTCAGGTTTGCAAGAATTGATGATAATACGATGCAGTTAAAACAAAATAAATGACTAACCACTTGGCTGTAATGAGACAGAAGTCAGTCTTGAGAAGTGAAAAAAGAAGGGATTGTTCTAACAATTCAGTATCTCTGACCCACTCCCACCCTATTCCATCAAGTAACTTTGCTACTGAAAGATTTTAAAGCAGCTCGTACAACATGATTTGTTTATTCAAGATTCAGACTCATCCTACCCTCTCTACAATCTCCGTTTACCTGTGAATATCCGGGTTAGGTCTTCAGCAACCCACGCTTGCCATAATTGGCGACTATGTTGATGAGGCGACTAACAGGATCGGGTTGTCAGGCTTGCTGACTTGGTTGATGCATGTCATCGTATCCCAATTGCGTAGATCAATACTCATGATGTCAATCACTGGATTGTCTGGTCCAGATTCGATTATTTATAGACTACTGTCATATAGCTGGAATATTGCTGATTGTGGCGTCAAACAACAAACAAACACACAAATAATCTCCATAACATCCTGGCAACCTAACCAGATATCCTAGCAACATGTACCAAACTTATACACTCACCATTACTTAACAGTTACTTAGCAACATTAGAATTTCCCCACCTCACTAACAGTGTTTACCTTCGTCATTTCTGGTATCAAGAGTTATCTCCCTTTGACTGTGAGTGCTTGTCGCTGACACTACTATTTTTCTTCCACTTGTTGTATATTTAGTCACTTGCTACATGACACGTCTTCCCAAAGCAAGGGTGGAAACTGGACTTTTCTAGTCAGTGAACTCCCTTGCTTCTGGAAGATGTACTTAACTATGCTACTCCAACTAATATTCTTTCAAAAAGCCTTCTGTTGAAACCCAATAACTGTTTTGCACAGTCATGCACACACTGCCTCCAACTTCCGACACTGCCTCATGTGTCATCACACGTGTTTGTTTACAGAGGCCCAGATGTACGCTTGACTCACTTAATGGCGCCATTTATGAAAGCTGACCCAGGTAATTTACAAGTTGTCAAAATATTACTTTATTGTAAAAAGATTTTGGTAATATTTCTTTGCAGATATTGACATGGTATACAACTAAAAATTTGCGTAAGGATAAAAAAATTTCTATATCCTTACAGATTTGCTTGGTGCATAGCTTCATTAATATGATGAAAAATTATTTCGTCTATATTTATTAACTACCACGTACCAGGTGTCTACAATGTCAGGTGGAACATTCAATTTTTATGTCCTCTACTCACTCAACATGCTCAAGGGGCTGTGGGGTAGCCTAGTGGTTAAAGCGTTTGCCCGTCACACCAAAGACCTTGGTTCGATTCCAAACGTGGGTACAATGTGTGAAGCCCATTTCTGCTGTGATATTGCTGGAATATTGCTAAAAGCGGCTTAGTCCATACTCACTCACCCACTCTACATACTGAAATCTTCAAGGAGCGTTTTACAACAAAGCATTTTTTTAGTACTTGCTAACATGCTTTACCTTACAGAAACATTTTTCTCTGTCAATCTCATTAACAACAGATCTTTGATCTCTGATTTGAGACCTCTCTGCATGAGTATCTGAGGACACCTCCAGAGGTAGCATCAGGTGGACTTTCCAATCCGCCAGTGTGTGTCATCTTCACCCAAAAGGAATGTATGTGTTCTGTGTGGGTTATCATTTGTACAAATCAAGGTGGTGAGGTGAGGTGAGGTGAGGTGAGGTGAGGTGAGGTGAGGTGAGGGGAAATGGGGTTTAACGTCGCGTCCAAGATTATTGCACTTATATAGCGACGTGCATGTACGTGTGTGTGTTTGTGTGGCTGCTTGTACTAGTCCGGACTGATGCCGATTTATAGTGCTAGCTCACTGAGATACCATGCCGCTGTTTAACCTGAATACCCCACTCAGACACAGTATACTGACTCCGAGCCGACCAGTCCTTGTTTTAGCCCCTTAATTCCGAGCGCCAGACAGGGTAACATCAAGTACCATCTTTAAACGTCTTTTGGTATGACGCGGCCGGCGATCGAACCCCAGAACTTCCGCTCTCCGGGCGGACGCTCTACCACTAGACCACGGAGGCGGTCACAAATCAAGGTGTTAAAACAACAAAGCCGAGTCATTTTAAAAATCTGACCACTGATTGGCTCAAGAACACACTGTACAGACCCCGCTGTATTCTGTGTAAACATATCCAAAGCTAGAATGATGACAGACGTGAATCTGGAGACCATTAGTGTAAACATACAGACATGCACTTTCGGTAAAGATATAATACAAAAGTCAACTTAACTCCAAAACATTATAAATATCTGTTTACACATTTAAAACCAGATTTCGACTCACATGTTAAAATCCTGCAGCGTGTTTGATTTAACACATAAATACAAATTTCTTCGCGAATTCAGCATAAAATGCAATTTTCTGCAATATAGGTACATTTCTGCACCGAGAGGGCATTTTTGCAAAATATTTCACAAACGCTGAATACAGAAGGGACTGATGGATCTTTGTTCTTGATTGGGTGGCCAAAGATTGCTTAGGGTTCACCTGCCACGACCTTCTAGGGTGTCTTCAGGCAGAGAGTTTTTGTATCCGAGTAAAATGATATCAGATTTTAATAGGATTGTCTTCTGTTTTGTCACATCAATATTTCATTCCTTACAAAGAGGGGTATCTTGTGCACCAGTGAGAAAAACATAGCCTCATCAGCTGAACCCCCCAAAATTCAAATTTAGCGCAACAACTGTTATAAGTCAACGTCAAAGCTCTGACATATTGCTGGAATGCTGCTGAGTAGGGCATTAAACAACAAACAAACAAAGATACAATGTCAAAGAATGAGAGTTATGATCGTCTCTGCGCTACCATCATTATAGGGAACCTGGTACTGGTCCCAATCATAAAAACACCACACATTGTGTGCAAAACATTTGAAAACAGTAACCATATGTTCAAAGGACAGGAAATTATCTTTTTCTAATAAGTTTCTTCTTTTAATTTTATTCAACGATAACATAAAACATGCTGGACCTTGTGTATATGTCACATCCGGGAATGCCTGGGTTTCATTCTCATTGTAATCAGATTATTAACTGTCATACCTTTCAAGACCTGTCAAGGCCTGCATTTGCCATCTTCCCAAGGCAAGGGAGTTAACTGACTGTTAAGTTTCCACCCTTGCCAAATAAGGCAGGAATTTCTGGGCTCGAGCTTAGTGCCACCAGTGGCTATTATGAGTTATGTCCTTTCTATGTCCCTCCTATTGACCAATCACATTCCACCTCTCAAACAAAATGGCGGCACCCAGTCAAGATGATCTGATAATCAAGATCTTTATTGGTATAAAATGGTTCTTACTTTGTGAAGTGCATCAAATCACGTTAGCACCTTGATGAAAAAATATATATATATGTTGACGCTAAATTGACGGTACACATCCTGCAATCGACTGAAATCTGCACGGCAGTATATGAATCAAATGTCAATTTCGATACGCAAATTTTGGTTGGACAATGCATAGACTCGTTAGTCCAGTAAAACTAAATCTCCTTAATACCAGCCTAGTTTGGCAAGGGTGGAAATAGAACTTTTATAGTCAGTTAACTCCCTTGCCTCAATAGATGGCATGTGAAAACTCTGACCACCCAATCAAAATGAAGGATTCTTTAGCCAATCAGATGTCAGCTTTCTGAAATGATTCTTCTTCAGTTCATCCCAATTCCTAAACTTCAATCTTAACAGAAGAAAACCACACAGTTTTCCCTCGACAGTCCAGTTTCAAAGCCTTGATGCTGATTGGCTGATAAGTAAGTTCACCTGATGCAACAGACCCGTGAAGATCCGGGGTAGAATAGGTCTTCAGCAACCCATAAAAGGCGACTGTGCTTGTCGTATGAGGCGACTAACGGGTTCGGGTGGCCAGGCTCGCTGACTTAGTTGATGCATATCATTGATCCCAATTGCATGGATGGATGCTCATGATGTCAATCGCTGGATTGTCTGGTCCAGACTTGATTATTCACAGACCGCGGTCATATAGCTGGAATATTGCTGAGTGCGGCGTTAAACAACAAACCAACCAACCTGATGCAAGCTCCTGTGGAGAATTTATCAGATCTATGCACATCATATTGGTGTAACAGATCTGGTTTTTATAAGAATGGACTTGGTTAACAATTTACCATGTTGTGTAAAGACAAAGTGGAGACAACTCTCATGTATGAAGCATTCCTAAAATGCCCAATGTACTTTTGCAAATCTAAAATTTTCAAATACACCAAGTGGCTGGGTTCCACATGATCACTGATTTCTTTCCTTGTGTTCACCAGTTGGAAAGTGATGATCTGAATTCCAGTATATTGTTGTGAATGTCATTTAATAGTATTCTTATATTGGTTTACAAAAGAATTGTGTTAGCAGTGCTCCCTTTTACCGGTAATTACCGGTTTTTAACCGTAAAAATTAGGCTTGGACCGTTTGTTCATGTGACTGCCAGTCTCTGTGGACCGGCAAATAAAGTAACTCATAAATCTCTGTTGTTGAACAAAACATTGGCAATATTGATGTTTGAATATGTTATGAATGAAGTCAGCTTGTCTGTTACCATGAGGGTCTGTTTTTAGTGTAAGGAATTAACATTTCGCTTTCTTTCAAGGTTAAATATATATTTGTTGTGACTTTGTCTCGAAATATTCAAACAAAAAAGAAAAAATTGTAACTGAACTTTGTGTGAGTGACGTGTTGATCTAACTAAGTTACTTCAGAGATGACATCTTTGCATTATACATGATGTTGAAAGAATGAAAACCAGGTAAATTCATGCGTTTTTTTATATGTTGAAAGTTGGGACTGACAAAAATTAGAGGGGACTGGTAATTGTCAGAGTTACCAGTCTGCCGGGACCGGCAGATATAAGGCCAGCAGGAACACTGGTCAGGTGACTTCATGAGTTTAGTGTGGGTGCTTTGTATGTGTACTTAAAGGGCAAGTTCACACGGAAATGAACCTATTTTTCTTGTACTTTTTCCACATTAAAAGTGTTAACATAGAAGTGTCATAGACAAAAATATAAAAATATCACAATTAATCAACATAATTTTCGCATTAAAGCTATTTATATTTTTCACATTTACCAAGTGTTCTATTTCCATAACAAAAACACCATGGCTTATGCCCCTTGCAATATGACGTCATTGGTGCCAATTGATAAACATTATGACGTCATCATGCTTGGTTAGAGCCGCTTCACGTGGTGTAGGTACATGTGTGTAATTCTTGCGTCTCAGATGCCAGCTAGCATAGTGTTATGCTGAGTCACCACTGCGCCGGGGTGTGTCGTAGGCCATGTTGTTTTACCGCAAACTGGTACTTGATATCTTTTGCGTTGAGAATAGACAGGGACCCAGTTGAATTGGCACCAATTACATCATAATCTAAGGGGGATAACTCAGGCCTGTTTAGCTCGAAAAACGAAGGCCTCATAACGGCATATCATTTTCACACTATTGTGAGCTTCCTACTTTCACTGTGAAAAAATGAGTGTATATTTACAAACACAGATACTAACTAATTCTAAAATTGCGTTTTGTTTAGAAAACGAAAGAAAGTAACTTTTGCGTGTACACTTCCCCTTTAAGGCTCATTTTCAGTGGGATATCCCTTTAAGTTGTTTACATGTTGAATTACCAATTCCTATCATTTTTACCTTATTGAAGTGTCCTAAAATCACTTGACCTTCTCCCACGATTCAAGAGATACGATTAACTGCCGTATTGTGGGGGTTGTGTCTGTGGCATTTTGATATGCCTTAATTAACATGGTTGGACCTGATCCGTTTCTTTTCCTGTTTACAGACAATCCCTGCTAAAGTTTGAAAACAGATGGGCTTTCTGCAAAATGGTTTCAGTGTCACACCAGCATGTCTCATCTTTGTTGTAATGGTTTCAGATTGTGTATGCTTATTTCATTCAGTTAGGATACAACGTACTATGTAATCTATGGAGAGCT